CTTGGTTGGTTCGGAATCAGGGTTTCTGGCCAACTCCTCTATGTGAGCTACCAGTGGTCCACCAACCGGGTTATAGCCCCAAATATTGGCTTTTCGTTATCTTACTTTGGTGAGAAAACACCTCCACCACGAGAGGGCAGTGATTAGGGCTTCCCTAGCAGAGGCTGTTTCAGACGCTTGGTCGTCTAGGTGCATTTGGCGAGGCGCAAGTGAACTTTTTGAACAGCGTATCCGCTTCCCTCAACCTGGTTTCAAGAAGAGGCATTGCGGCTTATGGTAAATGGCTGCCGTACACATAGAATGTAGAAAGTCAGAAACACACTGAGAGCAATAATGGGGCGAGCAATCTTGTTTTTAGTTATTCGTAATCATGCCAGTACATAACATTAAATGTGACGGAACCGTTAGGACTCGAATCTCTCTGTCCCTGTTTGTTCTTGTTGTTATTGATATTTAATTTTCTGTGATTGCATGATTACGAACAACTGAAAACGAGCTTGTTTTCCACGTTGTTGTTCTCAAAGTCAGGATCAGCGAACACAAGCATATCCGAATGCAAATTAAGCATGGTGGTGGTATGATTCTAACCGTTGTCCGCCGGGGTGACAATTTGGTGACCTTAAACACCGGGCCACCACCGCCTGAGCTCGATGGCTAATCATTGGTGATGATGCAGGTCATAGATAGAACAGCCTTGCGCTGATGCCAAAGTTCTTCAGCCATGTACATGCATGGATGATGAATTACTTTCTATCGCAGATTTAATTATATGATCAAAGTTGATAGTGCAGTTCAACGCGGGCGGCCCAGGGGGGAGGTGGGCTTGACCGGGTTCATCGGTCAAAAAATTCATTTATTCAACTAACTGGAACACAAGCATCTCCGTACATATCTGTGTATGTTACATTTCTTGAGGGCGGTACTGGTTTTGAGAATGATTTAAAGTTTGTTTAATCATAGCTGGGAGTGAATTGCCTTGCAGTGGATTGTTTTTGTTTCCACCGCTCACACTCAGCCTTGAGATTTCACGTTGCACAGTTGTTACCGAAGCTCAACAATCCGTAAAAGATTCACACACTTAATAGCTTCACAAACCAAACGGATATACACTTCGGTATCAATTTTAGTGGTCGCGAACAGATTAGCTGCATCGGTGGTCACGTTGACCCAATTGACGGAGCTTTTGTCTCCCTGTGTCAAATGAACGTGAGTGCATGTTTGATCAAGCCAACTGTGCTTCTATCGATTTTTCATCCATTCTCGACTCACCTGCTGCTGTTGTTGGTGGTGCAACAATGCACCAAATTCGGGACGGATTGTACTCATGGAGGCACATGATCATGTTTTGATCCCGGCTACTATCCCGATCAATAGTTCCCTAGTTTGACTCGATGCGACTGTAGCGTGCACTCCTTCGCGCTTCATCGGATATCAACACTCACGCGGACCGGAATCATCGAGATGAGCACGATTGTGCACACCACTTCCTGCAAATAGGAAAACTCTTTTCAGCCTATTTTCGTTTTTCGGGTGCTAGCTAAGGAACCGGGTGAATGCGGCTGAATCAACTAGGTTCTGCGATGTTGGTTACTGGTTTTACAAAATCATTGCAGATGATTCGTTTAGGGTATTTCTTGTTCAAGGTGGCCCAAATATGATCTGTTTTACTCTTTAAGCCTTATTTATTTCCCCCCTCCCGCCCTCTCCCGGTGGATCACCTTTGCACTACGTCAGATGCAGTTAGCTTTTGGTTTTCCTCTTCTTCTGTACACACACACACACACACACACACACACACATTCAATCCACCATATCATAACATTCTGGTGCGATGGAGACACGGGTGCACTCAATCTGAGACACAGATTAGTTTAAAACGACTAACGAAACCACTCACCCTAACCACGTCACTCGGTAAATGGCCTTCATTAGTAATGTCATTCATTCACTCATTATATTACGCATAACCTAATGCCGTTAGCTGTTGTACGACGATGTCGAACTATCCATGACCTAGAGACCGACTCGTTTATCATTTAACTCTGTCAAATAAGATTATCCCCACTGGGCTATTGCCCTTTTTGCAGCACCTGCATGATCTACCGAAAGAAACATATTCCTGTTTGATACCCCCAATGCTTGTTCATGGAGTTTTCGTTCAGTTTAGTATATAACCTCGTCTTAGGCTAAAATAACGCGAACGTAAATTAATTATCAAGCGTTTATTTGAACTGGTATTACATTTATATATTTCACATCTGTCTGAGGCCAGACTGTGTAGTAAACAGATCATGGTACGATAATCTTTATAAAAAGGAAAACGTTCCATGATTTGCATGTGGGTCAAATACGCTTGGTCGTCTAGGAGCATTTGGCGAGATGCAAGGGAAGGGCGACCAGTCACTGCCTTAGACACCCACCCCGACCTTCGTGAGGAATTCGGAGTAACTGTTTTTCCTATCAGCACAGATGCATTAGATATTTGGATAATGGAAGATGGAATCACAAACGAGGCAGTAACAACAAAAACTGATGGAGTTCTCGCACCGTAGTGTCCAATGCCCTGAGAACTGTCACAGTGACCAGAATAGAGGATTGGGTGAACGGAGAATTTCGAACCGTCAGAAATCTTATGGACTGAGTTTCATTCCGTTTTTATGTTCACTAGCTCACGGGGGGGTCACAGGATCATGGCGCAGGTCTCATGCTAAGCAATTCTTATCATTGTTG